GACTCTAAAGATTTCCGTACCAGCCCCACTGCTATAAATGGGAACTCTAATCTTCCTGGTTATAGAAGTGCATCTATTGTGTTTTGGCCATCTGCTCTGGTTAATCAAGATATTAAGAAAGTTTGTGCTTTTTGATCAGTTACTCTTGGTGCAGATGAATTCAGGGGCTGAGGAAATGAGAGTTAAAACTAAGGGTGTAAAGAGAGTCCAGCAAGCAGGATCTAAGACTCTTGTACATCAGCTGAAGAAGATAGGTGCATCCATCAGCACATGAAGGGCAGCAGCATAGACACTGTGTCAGTGGCAAGGGTGGAAATGGGGCTGCCTGATGCTTCAGTGTCAGGGAAGGCTTTGGGCTGGGCCCCAAAGTCCTTCCAGGTTTCTTCCCTGTGTCTACAATGCCCAGAATACATTCTAAACTACTACGGACTTGGCACTTTACAACTGATGGTAATTTTTTTTAAAAAGTGTCATTATGTAAATGAACTCAGGGAAATCTGGGTTGACTTTTCATAGCTTTTTATTACTGTGGCTTCCCTTAGTCCGGTAGTGGAGATATAAACTAGTGATTGTAAAGTAAAATAAATGAAGTGGCACATAGATATTACACCTCCTGTAGTATTGTAGGTAATATTAATAGTAGGGTCTGGAGACATCTAAATCACAGAAGAGATGAGTCCACTAAACAAAGACTTTTGCATGTTTAAAAGTGTTTGTAGAAGTTCTGGATTTGTTTCTTTCCTTGCACTGCTGCTTTTTTTTAGAAGTGCTGTTTCAGAGTTTTATTTCTTAGATAAACAAACCATCATATGAGTTCAGAGGAACATCAAAATTTGTGTTCGTGGTGAATTTCAAGGGACCCAGCAGAGCTGGGAGCCCTGCAGCATACCTGCAGCATTCCTGCACCCAAGGCACTAAGGTCAACATTTCCAAAGCCAACATCCTCATTTCAGGCGTCCCACATGACAGCAACCCTGCTGTCTGCAGCTGGTTTTACGACCGTAAGCCACCTAATCTCCCGTGTAATGTCACTGCCCATATCCCACCACGCTGTCACTCCCACCACAGGACTGCAGGCAGCCCCGGCTTTCAGGCATGCTGCAGCTTTACCAGAATCCACCTAATCCAAGGTGCTTAAAGTAAAGATGCTGCTTGTAAACTCCAATTACATTTTACATTACTCTGCTGTGTGCCTGTAAAAACAGCATTGCTTCAGGAAGGTTTCGCTGCATGAGCAGCAGGGCATTTCGATCTTTTACCATGTCAGCCTAACAGGGAGGAACTATGATCAATGCTCGACAGCCTGGCTAATTCAAATGCAAATGTACATACCCTGTCAGTCACGGGAGAAAGCCAATTAAATAAAGACATCTCCCATGACATGGACAATTAAATAGTTGCTTTTCCTCTTGCTGTGCAAAGATTTTCCTTAATTTCCTGTCCCCTGCTGAGACAGCCTTGGCTTTTCTGCCTGGGCTAGAATGCTCAGGTGTCACTGCTCTCACGGGTGCCTCTGCACCGCTTATCCTTGCACTGAGGAGGAGGTGAAGGAGGAGGAGGAAGGCAGAAACCAAACTCCCGTTTTTCCTGGGGTAAACTGAGCAGTAGCTGAAGAAATCACTGGCTCGACAGTACAGAGCAGCAGGGCAGACAGTTGTCCCTCCCTTACCAACCTCATTTACAGTGTTTCTAAAACACACAAACATCATGCACACACATGGGCTGCTGGTTTCCTCGCTCCTGTATACTCAGCACTGGCGCCTTATCACTCATGGAAGGTGCCTGGAAGCACAGCACACGCCTTAACCCTCTCCTGGCTGCTCTGAAAATTTGACACACTTGCAGGAAAACAGGTGTCTCCCGACAGCTCCCACTGCTCCTGCAAGTGCAGCCAGACAGATGCAAGCACTGCGCAGACAGTGGAGTGGTCCCCGAGGAAATACATTTATACTATTGTTAACTTTCTTTTGCCCTTTCTTATATATTTTCTGAAATAACAGTGAAATCTGAAGGAAATCTCATGATTATACATAGACACATCCTAAGCACCCAGGGACACTCCGGCTGTCCCTTACTGCTCAAACCTATGCAAGCATGCTCAGCTGTGTCCGTACATGCACAGAGCACTTGCAGGCTGGGAGGCTCCCACTGCAGGAAAAGCTGAGGTCAGCAGTTTGTCAATCTGTTTCTCCTTGAGAAATGTGCAAATGAACAGTCAATCCTCTGGACAATCCGTCATCCTGCTGGGCCAAACCACTGAGCAGCTTTAGGTGCTCTGTGCAGCAGGCTGGCACTCAGCCAAGTGTTTGCAGTCACTTGCAGATGAGATATTCCTAACACAGGGCAAAGTGGAAATGGAAATAATGAAAGTATACCTCAGGAAGGCATATACTTATGCACTGATGATGTGAGTGCAAAAACCTAGTAAGTCTGGGCCCCTTGTTTTCAGAAGGTGATCCGATGCAGCCAGGACAATTTGTACCATTGTTGTAATGTAGCATAAGTGTCTCACACTCTCACATACTCTATCTGCCCATCACACCTACCCACTGCCTTTCACCTTGTGTTTCAATGGTCATGTCTCTGGAAATGACCCTCTTGTATCACACTCCAATGTCTTTCTTTACACATCAGACTTCTGTTCCCTGCGATTCTCTCTAGGCATCACCATGATATGTTCAGTAATGCCAGCAGTTGTTTCCATTTGCTTTTGTCAATGGAAGGATGCTGAAACCAAGAGGGTTTTGTGATAATTTTTTTGCAGATGATGAATTATAGACAAAAGGTCTGTAGTACACTGACAAATCTCCCTTTCCTTGGAGACAGTGCCCAGTAATGCTATTCAGAGCAGGTTTAGGAGGTACATGGCCTGTGGCTTTGATTAGTGAGAACAGGGACATTCACATACTCGTGAGCATCTCAGGTAGGATTCACCTCACTGAATATCAATCATCTCACCACCACGCCCCCCTTTTCTGTTTCCCTTCTTGCAGTGCCATGTCTATCATCAGAAATGAGTGTCTATGAAACCACCCCACATGTCAGGCTCAGCATCTCACCTGCAGGTGTTGGGCTTCTAGACCCCCCACAGCCCCTAGCCACGCTGGTTCACATTCAGCTCACATTCTGGAAGCTTTCCCTTTACATTTTAAGGTTATTTCCCTAATGATTCTGACATGATTAATACTGGGGTCTGGAGTTCAGGGTGACAGCTTCAAGGAGCTAGACTAATGGGCTGTGAGCTGACAAAATAGAGAGTGTATTATTTTGTAACAAAATTAACCCAGAACTGATGATAATTTATCAAAATAGAAACTTCTGCAAACTTAACAGGTAAAGAACACTTGTGTTTCAATGCACAGCATATTAGATTCGTAGACCTAACAAAGTTACAAGTTTCGTTATTATCTCCTTTGGCAGTGGACCACAGATGCATTAGAAGAGGGTAAAATGATCCCTTGGAAATGGAAACATTTGATCATCAGTGCAGCATGATGGTTAACAGGTTCCTGATAAGGCTGAAGTTCAGAACTTGAAGTCACAAAACCCCAAGCTTGGCACAGCTGCTGTTTTCTGTTCTAACACTTCAGGAAAAAAGTGCTATTGATGTGCTGCTCAGTAAAAGCATTTGCAATGTTTACTTTATGTAGCATGTGATCAAATAGCAATAAATATCTCTAACATAATCTTCTTTACAATACATTTTTGTTTTCCTTACACCCCTTGAAACTTACATTACAGCTTACATTACAGCTTTAGAAAGATGTATTTTCCTGAAGAGATACTTATTGTTTTCCCAGCATTTTCTTCAGAGTGGTCAGAGCGGATCCAGACACCACAGCAAGCACCACATCAAACTCAGGAGCAAAAGCGCATGTGGTCTTTCACTAGTGCAGTTTTCCTATCTTCACAGCACTTTACAGCATATTGCTTTAAGACTTTTATCTACACATAGGCCTGTTTGTCATCTGCTACTGGGACAGACAGTGCTATTTTTATATATCCCAACACAGAGGAGAGGACAAACATATTGACCATTCTGTCTCTGAAACACCAAGGAGTTACTGCTTTCGTTGAGACTGCAAAAAGTATATTGAAATATATGTGTGAACTACATTGAAATCTGAACAAAAGTAGTCTGATGTTTTAAAGCAGCTTAGCAAGAGACAGTGGCATGCAAGAGACCACCCAAAACAAACCTAGTTTCACTTATTTGTGAGCAAGGATACAATCCCCATATCTTTTTTGATCACAAAAAAACCTGAAATAATTTTTCACTCAGTACTTCAGTGTCAGTTCAGCATGGTGACAATGTGTTCCTTAATCTCTTTTGGAAGCATTCAGAAAATAAACCAGCATATTTACTACACATTGTTTTTTTACTAAACATTATTGGAAAATGAAGCTTCCTAATCAACAACATAGATTAGTTTTGATTGGATAAGGGGCAAATTGTTTAACCAAGGGAAATACACCGACTATAGCAACTGCGATTCCTGGCTTCAGGCAAGCTCATTCGAATATTTGAAAAATATTGTATGAAATACTGTCTCACATATTATTAACTTTAAGGAAGCAAGCTACTATGAAGAAAGAATTGATTCTCATTGCACTTTAAATTGCTGCTCCAGTGCCTTCGCACTTCATGAAGTATGGATCAATTATCTTTTTGGCAAATATGAACATGCTGTCTTTTAGCAGAGATTAATTAATGGCATTTTCTCTCTCTGGTCTTTAGCTTGATCTGTTCTTGTCTCTCTTGGAATTAATGTAGACTACTAACTAAATTGCACAAACATTTATTTTATAAAAAGTATTCTGTGTTCAGTCTGCATCCTCAAGTTGTATGCTAATATTCACCAGAAATCACCTGAGGTGATTCTTCTTCCCTCATCACACTAAAAAGAAACATTTTACCTGAAAATACAAATTTATAATTGTGCATTTTATGGAGTCATAATTATGCAGGCTTCTTTTCAAGGCACAGCAGCAAAGCTTACCTGTCAGCTGAGAGAGCAGTGAGAGTAAAGACTGACACCCCTACAGAGGTGAGCTGTATGAAGGGGATAAGTTTGCATCCAGTTCTGCCAAACAGCCACTCGTCAGCAAGGTACCTGCTGGCATCCACAGGCACACAAGTCACTAAAAGCAGCAGGTCTCCCAGAGCCAAACTGGAAATGAACAAATTAGGGACATTTCTCATGGATTTCACAGTACAGAAGATCTTAATCAAAGTGATATTGCCAATAAGGCCTATCAGAATGATGATCCCATAGATAGTGGGGATGGCGTAGAGGAACGCTGGGTAAAACCAGTCTTCCCCCAGGAGGGAAAAGTTTGCACTCTGGTTGACAGAGATGTTATAGAAAATGAAGTTGTCTGTTTCTAGGTCTAGCAGAAGGCACTCTCCAGATGCCATCGTCCTACTTGGCTCTTCTCGGAAAACAGCTTTCTTCTTTGAAAGTCCTCTAATTCCTTGAATTAATTTCTTGTTTTAATTTTGCTGCTCCTTGCTGGCTTTAAACAGTCAGAGGAGTTTAAAAGTCATATCACTTTGTGACACATCTTGTCAACAACCCAACCAAAAAGCACCTGCAGCTTGCTCCACAGTCCTGTTTCCATAAGGTGAAAGTAGAACCTGTTTTAGCATTGTTTGAATTGTGAAACTTGCCTTTTCCTCCTTGACTTCTCTTGCTGTTAAGTATTCCCCAGCTCTGGAAGGCCAAATATCAAATGCAAAGACCAGCAAGTGGCAGGCATTTTCGCAAACGGGGCTGGTCAAACTCCCAGCTCGGGGTCTGCCCGGCAGCTCCGAGTCCGAAAGCAGCGAGTTACAGAAAGCAAGAACTTTCGGGAGTTGCTGCCGCGCTGCATTGCCAATCCCTCCCGCTTTCGGCGCCTGCCATCGCCAGCCGGATTTAAAGCGAGGGGGGAAAGCGGGGCTCGGCTGGCGGCTCGGATCCTATAGGCAGGATGTTCTGGACGTCAGTCCTTGCGCTGCTTCCCACGGGGTGCGCGGGCTGCCGGCAGCGCGCCGGGAGCGCCGGGAGCGCGGCCGCCTGCTGGAGGCTCCGGGCAGCGCCGCCCTTAACTCTTTAGGTGACAAAATACACATCTGCTCTCTTAGGGCTCCCGACGTGCGTCATCGGCTCGCCACCCACTCCCTCCCCTCCCCCCCCAAAAACCCCCAAAACCAAATCTCTTCCCCCTCCCCCACAAAAACCCATCCCCAAATCTCCCAACCATTAGTCTCCGCCAAACAAACCACAACAAGCCTCGAACCCACCAAAACCAAACAGCCATACCCTAAACAAAACCCAACCCAGGCAATTTCGTACTGCAAACAATGTGTTCAGAAAAGCAATCCCACCTTCGTAACTTAAAGTGCACCTATTTTTCTTGCACTCCAGTATTCAATTATTCCAGTGAAAGAGAATGATGATACAGAGCCAAATTCATCTTCCCCTCTCCTCCCTAGGCAAGTGAAATTAATAAAGCCAATTAGGATAAAACCCAACATTGTCGTTAAGGTAGGCAAATGAATATTAGCACTGTGAGCCTGAAGTTTTACAGGGAAACCTTAACTCTGCACACTTTTATGTTAATTTTTAAATTTGCAGGTAACAATGCCAAGAGACAAAGTTCACCATTCTATGCAATAATTTCTATTTATGAGGTACCCATCATACTGGCATCCATAGATAATGCATGTTGAGATGCAACAGAAAGAAATTTGCTTGGCTGATAACAGTCTGAAAAAACTCCTTAGAACTGAATTAAGATATAATTATTACTGATGCCTTACTGCTTTATAACAGACTATTTATGAAAAATACAAGGACTTTCTGGACTGTGGAGATACATAGTTAATTTGGAAACCAGCCTGCAGAATTAAATGAAGCTGTACTTTACATTTTCTTTCGCAACTCCTCATTTTTGTAGGCAAAAAAGAATGTTTCACCAAATGCTAGAGTTACTTGGAAGTAAGAGGGGAGTGATTCAAAGCAGGCATTAAAGTGTGATCACTGGTTTCTGCATAAAAGCAGCATTTCAGGACACAATCTGGAAAATCTCCAGGGGTTTGAAAGTGGTGTCCCAGGGTGGGATTTGAAGCAGGAGGCTTCAATAGCTGTTTTTCTGCCTCATTCTCGTGACCTGGGTCAGTGTTTTCAGCTGTTTTTCTGCTGTCCACTCTAAGTCAACAAAGGACTTATGTGTACCCTTAACTTTAAGTAGGGCTACTTACATATGTTTTTCAAGCCAAACACACATGACAGTGCTGTGCTGAGAGCTTGAGAGTGCAGAGAAGCCAAATTTTCTAGTGTTCCTTTCAGACAGAAGCCTGCTTTTAAGAAAAGGCTGGAGGTTACCACAGTTAAAAGCAGAGGACGCGGAGCAACTGTGCACATTCTGATCGGGGCACACGGGCACTCCTGCGGGTCAGGGCCAGCTCCGGGCAGGGCTGCCACGTTGGGTGGGTGCCATTTGGAGGCAATGCCACATTTGGCACAGCAGAGCCAAAGGCACAGAGAGGAACAGCGGAGCTACTGAAGCAGCCCTGCCACACACCACGATGGATACCTCTCCCAGGATATCCCCAGCATACCTGGGAGCCTGGTGATAGGGGCTGCAGGACAAAGGGATGCACACCTGCCCCCTTCCTCCCCCCACACTTTGCCTTCTAAGGATTGGGATTAAAGGGGAGAGAACACTTCTGGAAGTGGGAGCAGCCACTTGGTGTAATCCTGATGGACCCCTGTGCCCAGCAGCCTGGTCAGTAGCTGGCAGTGACCTACCCTGAGTGGGAGGTGAGGACTTCTTGTCTCCCTTCCCATTCAAATGACTTGTTGACACTGGGACTTGTAAACACACCATTTAGAGTTATAACATCTCTAGCTCTCATCATGAGCCTTTATTTTTCAGATGGAAAACAAAGTGGTCAGTTTGACAAAAATCCTCTAATAGAACCACTAAATCATCCCTCTTCAGCATTTGAACTCTTCTACACTGAAACCTCTCTTCCCTTTACATGGCAAACTATGTGAGGTGAGCAAAGGAAGAAATGAGAAGCAATGCTGGAAATCCTACTGATCTGGTGGCAGACAGTGATGTTTTGAGATGGGGCATATCACCATATCCCACATGTCTCCATCAGTGAAGGAAAGGGCTCTCATGAGTTCTGGGAGGATGCACTTCACCTTTATCTTTGCAAGGCTGATAATTATTCCAGGAAGCACTTCAAGTCTAAACTTACAGCTTGCTCATTTTTGCTTTTGACAAATCTAAGTTTCAGGTTTAGGACAAAGTCTTCTGACCACAGAGAATGAGAAACTGAAAAGACAAAAAAAAAAAAAAAAAAAAAAAAAAAAAAAAAAACCAAAAGTAAAAACAAAAACACCAAAGCACCAAAGTCTAAACCAAAGAAAACCAGATCCTATAATGCTTGAAGCAGTTCAGATTATTAAAAAAAATATTTTTTATTTATGCCAAATGTAAATACACTGTTTCAAGGAAGATGAAGGACACAGGTTTTATTCACCATTGCCTGGCCTGCAGATGTTCCCCAGAAGTAACTTAAAAATGCCGAGGATGTTTCCCAGACATGTTTTTGTCTTGTCATAAATTGCATTTGCGAGGTTTTTGTTTATAATAAATGGTGTACCTTTTTAATCATTTCACTCTACTGTTTATCTTCCCTGAGCAGGGAAAAATATCTGGGCATTTGTATGAGCATACCACCTCTGTGCTCCTTTCAAGATCCCAAGCCTCTCTCCAAAGGACAGTAAGCATCAATACCCCTGCTTCACCACTGGAGTAACCAGCCTGCATTAAAAAAAAAAAAAAAAAAAAAAAAAAAAAAAAAAAAAAAAAGGGGGACTGGCACAAAGTTACTTAACAAGTTGTTCGCAGAGTTATGAATAGGATGATGCAGGGCTTGTGAGCCTGGTCCTGCATTATAATGGTTTTTGGTTGGACAATGGGAGATTCCACACATCCTTTCAGTAGATGCTTTTTTTTAATATCTCAACCTTTGTCCAACCTCCAAATGACAGCTGCAAAGAGAAAACTTTCTTAACTGTGCACAATGGGGGAGATTTGTAAAAGTCTGATGAACAAAATTTTCAAAAGCACTTAAACCTACATGAAAGGTAATGAAATTTAGGCTCCTACATTGCTTATGAGCATACCACCTGGAAGTGGAGCCAGAGTTTTAAACAACTGCAGTCTGTGCTGAGAAAAGTGCACAAGGACCCACTTTTCAAAGGTGCTTGGAGAGCTGCAGCTGCCACAATCATAGCTCCAGGCAGATTTTCAGAGCCCTAACAGCCAGTGTACAGAAGTCTTTTGTAAGATCATGTGTTCTACATATCTAAATGGACCACTTTGGAAAATTTAATGCAACAGGGTGAGGTTCCATGGGAGATGATCTGGTGATGGGAGCCAGAGAATGCTGGTGCGGCCACCAGCAGACCCTGAGGCTGGCCCAGCCATCACCTCAGAGAGCAGGAGCAACCTGCTGCATGGGGGGGCAGCCCATGCAGCACCCCCCACACCAGGCACCTCCAACGTGCAGGGAACGTGGGGGCAATGGGAAATCATCTCCTTGGAGCATAGCTCTTTGCCGGGGATGTGTCATGGTTGCTTGTGTGACTTTCCTTCATATCAGCCTCTTCCCAACTCAGAGGAGATGGGTAAACTTGCATCCACAGTCAAGAGTCAGGAGAGGAGTCTCTGTGCCCAGGGTTTTGCTGTTTCCTGATAACTGGATTACTGGGGCTAGGAACCAGTGAACCAGGGATTACTCACTGCTGAGCTTGTGGAGCACAACATCCGCTGATTTACTAAGTATTCTCCTGCAAACTCTTCATCTCCTAGAGGGAACGAAGCAGTGTAAGGCATCCTGCCTATAATCTCTTCAAGGAAATACTTCATTTTTATTGCTGTCACCCCTACGTGTCCAAACAGTGCTCTGTGTTCACCACTCCATTTCAGTCAGCAAAGTTAATAGAAACAGTTCACAAAATGGTGATTTTCTAACCCATTTCATTCCAGGGATCAGATTTATATCAGGGTTTTACAGAGAGTAAATTACATAACCTTTTTATTTTCTTGAGCAAAGATCTTTACTCATACTTGCATGACTGGAGGTCAGAGGGGCTGGGGAAGGAATATAATCCACAGTGTAAAAGTCCCCTGAGTAGACACGATGTGCTGGTTTCTTGCATATGTAAAAATGAAAATGAAGCACTGTCGAGTTTCCTCTATCCTGCAGCCTTGCTGACGCACAGCCTAGAGTGCAAATGAAGATGCAGGCCATACAACGTGAAGTGCTCCTACTGTGCCTTTGAAAATAGCTTGTTCACTCTAAATTAGGCAACTCCCTCAGTGTGTTTTCAGCTTCACAAATTCCTTACTTATTCCCAGCATTTCATCCTGACACACAGCCATCAAAAACTGGCACAGCAGGAAGGGATGTCTGAACTGCCTAACACACTGGATGTGTGCTCATGGAGAAGGAAGTGTTTGAAGGAGACACATGCAGATATATGTTTACAGGAATCTTCTGCCAGGCTTGAGGAGTAGCACAGCCACAACAGGATCTGAAAATGCTGTAAGTGAGAAAGTAAAGGTTGCATGGTGGGCCAGCAGGAGCAAGGAACCAGCCTACACCTGGTAAATGAGGGATGAAAAGGGACTTGAGAATGTAGAGAGAATGTGTGAGCCACATCCAAGGAGGGCACATTTGAAAAAGAGGCACAGAGTGCATGTGAGTCTAATGCAAGGAAAAGGATATTGGCAATCTTGCAAGAAGAAACAATGCATTTTTTGAGAGCAAAGAATGCTGTAACAGGCAAGATATGGGCAATAAATCTTAGCTAAAAAAGAGGCAGGAAAAGTTTTATTTCGCATACTTTATACAAATACACACCTCTCCACACCCACGCCCTACAAGAAAGAAAGACCTGGGGATGCAGTGAGAGCAACAAGTAGGAAGCAGGACTG